AATGAACGTGCTGCGTTTTGCTGCTTCCCTTTTCGTCGTGCGAAATGAATTCTACACTGAAAAAAATGAAAATCTTACCACTTGGGAGAGCTTACGCTTTCTTATGATGGAGGGAGCTTTTGATGTTGCATTGGAAGGCGCGGTTTTTCTTGGTGGAATTAAACTAATGGAAAAACACACCTGCGCTAGTCAAGATGAAACGGTGTTCTGAATAAACACCTAGATCTGTATGCGGTGTGCTCTGATCAAACGCTGCATGCACACGAAGTTGCAGTTACTTTACTCCTTCATTCGCACATCCATTTGAATTACTCCTCAGTAAACAGGTGGTTTTGTCTCGGACACCTAACAACACGTTTTACAGTAATGATCGAAACCAACGGCCAGTGTTATCGGCACACACTGTTCAATGGAGCACCGACTGGTGTACACTCGTCCGAGTTGTTACTATAAATCGATCTTTACGATGAAAAATCTGCCGTAACTCTTGGATTCACCCTTAAATTGCATCGACCAGTGCTTGATTGTCCACTTTCATCCTCCTAAATCATTGGCGAACGAAATTTTAGTTGTTCTAACCACATGTACGAGGTTTGCATACAAAGATGCTAATGATACCGGAAGTACGCATTGTGGCAGTCGATCCCGTTTGCTTTTGCCAACATTGTTCACGAAAATTCGGAAGCGCTGCAGAATGATTTGAAACTTTTGGGTAATTTTGCTGAAACTTGAACAATTATGCCAACCGTATGCAACGTTCAATTTTTTTCAATATTCCGCTGAGTTCAAACAAGTCTGAAGAACGTGCAGTGAGCGTAGGAACAGCTGATCAGAAACTCTGTCTATCCTGCTATCGGACCGCACCCTATCCTGATGTAAAAATGTCTCTTTTGTTGATATACGCATTTGTGTCCCAAGTGCAAAGTGTGTTTCGCTCTTGCGTGTGACACAAGCGAAATGTTTTCATGCAATACGCTTGCTCCATTTTGCCTTGATCTAGTCAACATTCTACTTGGTCAAATGAGACTATCTGTTCGTTCATGATTCTCTGCTTCCACCATCGTGATTAGGTGGCTATGCTAACTACCTCATCACTAAAGACACAGCAGATGGTTAACAGTTTCACCGGACCTCTCCTTTCAGCCCAGCTGCGTTATGAACAGTATCAAGGTCGTTGAAATAACACAAATCTTGCTATTTTACCGTGAGATGCGTAAGAAAATCTTACAATGAGGCGACATTTACTAACATTTTTTTCATTCGTAAAGTGATTCATCTGGTGCCTTGTGGATTACACTGAGATGAAAAGTTTAAAAAAAAGATTGCTGAATAAGTCGGTCACATGGTCGGTTGCACAGTACACAGTGTTTGTGTCTGGCTGACTCGTGACGGCCTTCTTGGAACATGCTGTGCATTTCCTTGGGAATGGTCTTTCCTGTAAAAGTTGGTGGGTCAACAAGTGAGGTCCGGAGCAGGAACACTGACCAAGGACAGACAACTGACCTTCAATGTGTTTCCCGTCGGTTGAGCCAAGCCATAACCATGCAGTCAGACAAGTCCGGTTCAATGTCCCCATGAGTTCTCACTAGATGCTTTTGCTACACTTTCCCCGAGGTACAGCTGAATGCATTAGACACATCGCGAGGTAATTAGGAATTAAAATCTACTCTGTAACTAACTGAATGGTAAACCGCTCAGTCGTGTGGGCTCTGACATACTTGGCGTACAGCGTGGTGCCAACCCCACTGCTTACAAGGTGCCTGCTGATCAACCGATATCGGTACAACACAGCACAATTCCAATGGCTATCGTCATCCGAATTAGCGATCAAGCACTTCATCGGTAAAAACGCGTTCTATGCATGTTGGAGTTACTATAGTCTAGTTAATTTCCCAGACATCAGTCCGGTGCCTAGCAGACGATCATGACGTAGCCTGCACCGAAGAACTCAGTCCGTTCTACCAGCTAGGACTACACCACTTCGAATTCAAGAGTAGAAATAATCACTTCGGTTCAATAACAGGAAAGTCACCCGTGCGATTGTCATGCGAGACTAAGTGATTGCCTCTCTAAGGCACTGGGATGAGACTTAAAGGTTTTCTGTTCGAGTACGGAACAGACGCGTGACCAAAATCCAAGACGTCGGAGTGTAATCGCATCGGTCCACATGCATTACCTCACAATGGATAAACAGCGTCGGCATGAATTATGAATGATTACCAGGTGGTTTATCCTAGAAAGAACAAGGCAATAAAGTACTTATTCCTCGGGCGATGACACGTACATTGTGAAACCAAAAACAGGCTATCCAACCTCCGCATCGATATCTCCATGACTTGTAATCACAACCTCAACGAAAGCATGTCCACATCGGATAGAAACGTGTACCCTGTCTGAAAAAAGCGGAAACACCGGACCTGCATGCTTAATGTCAATCCAGTTGTCTGATTCAGCATGACTGATGTGGTTGGCGGCCGTCCTACTTTGCATGGTGATAACCGTCCAGTTTAATCGGGAACCACGCAAAACGGCGACACAAATGGCTTCTCTACACTTGAAGTGCAGTGGTTATTCCTGCTCCTAATGTGATTATTTCTGGCTTTCTAAGTCGCAACTCGTTCGGTTATAGCTAACAAGTAGTGCCATTTCCACCTCAGTTCTCCGATGTGCAGTTCTTCCACCAAAACCTCTGTTAAATACTGCCATCTTAGCTTTTCAGACTGTGTGCCTTGCAAAGACCACGCGCGAGGGAGAGGAAATTTTAAAAACTCGAACTTCATCCTAGTGACATTTTGCTTTTTTGCTTCTCATGAAGAATATGATCCATCCAGCAGTTTCTTTCCGTATATCTATACAATGTCAATGATTTTATCCCCATCAGTCGCGAATAGTAAATGATGAAATTTATGTATGAGAAGGGGTTCGGGAAGAATTCGAACGAGAAGCTATACAGCTGTATCATGAAATCCTGAATAAGGCAACCAGATTCATAGCTTCAAAATTTCTTGTACATCAAGAAGCGGTTGATGGTCATTTGTCAACATGGCTTGAGCTAACTACAGATAAATCCGGACCGAACGCCTCGGATCTAATTGGTAGCCATCTTATAGCGAATACTTCGCATCACATCACATAAGACTGTGATGGAGCAGCCGATCATTTGGTTATGGCGGCGCCACTCCACAGAGAACTGCTTCGATATTCATTCCACCACGTGTTCCGACACTGTATTTTTCTCACGTGAAAATCTCGACAACTGCACAAGTTTGCGTGTAAAGCAGAAGAATTTGATGAGATACTTTCTTGTCATTGGGGAGCCACTGTCCTAGTGTCATGGGTAAGAAAGGTAGTACGCAGAGCTCTCCAGAGGCTATTTAACTTTTAGCCAAGTCCTCAAACTATTCGGTCTTAGACACTATAAGAAGATAGAAAACTCAAAACGGAACTTCTTGTTCTGCAACAATTCGACGGAGTGCAGCACATTAATTTCCAAAGAAACGTTCGGGGTAGACAAAAACTATTCTTACTTTGTTATCTCTCCAGGGTTATAAATCCGTCTTGCATTGTAGAGGTGCTTTGACTAACCCACGCACGTCTGTCATTAGTATAAAACTATTCCTGTTCAAATATTGCCAGATTTTTCTACTTATTCATAAGTTTTCCATAAAAGTCCCATCTATGTTGACAATATGTAGGTTTGTGTGGACGGAGTGAAACATGTTACAGAAAAAACTCGCGAGCTGCTCCACACAGGTAGTCATGAAATGCTATTAAAGTCAAAGTTCGATCCCAACTATCCCTTCAAATCGCTCGTTCATGGTAGGCCTCGCAGATTGCCCACTGCACAAGCGCCCATCTGTCCGTAGAATTGAAGTAAAATTTTCCGGTGAACAGCATTTTTACGAACTCGGCAAAAAAACTACCTAATGATCAAACTCATTCGCAATACAGATCTTTTCCTCTTGGCTATCAAACAGCTTCAAGCAGCTCTTCAAACGATGCGGGGATAAGCATTTGTGGATAAAAGTGTCCGGTTACTGCGTTCCACAAGATATAGGAGAGCATTAGCTGTATGGTGCTTCATTTTACTGGGTTTAAAATGAGAAAATGGAAACCAGAACTGTAAAAACAGAACGGTCGATCATCTCTATTCCTTTGGGGATTGACATGCTTCGGATATCACTACAGTTAGGGCTTTATTCTGTTTTGAGTGTTGTATTTGATATTGTTTTGTGACACACATTCGAAGGGATAGAGCCAAATGTGATTAATGCTCCGAGCAACAGTTCAATCCTCTGTGCTGTCTTCGATATCTATTCATTCAGAGAACTAGCTCTCTTGTGTAGCCCCGACGACCACCTCAGATGGCACACCACCAAAGCATTTTGGCCCATGGATCTAAGCTGTGTCTGAAATATTGTGGTGAAACCTGAAATCTTATGGCGATTGGCTTTTCTGTGATATAATAGTTAACAGGTCTTTAGAACTGTGTACTTTCTCGAGGGTGAGCACTATTATTTCAATCAGCATTCGAAACGGACGAATAACATGTGATCCATGTGTAATGGCTCTTTAGACCCGTGGTGCTAATCCGTGTTAGACCAACTCCAATGCTGTTTAAGAGCGAACAAGAACGTTGCCGAATATCTGTCAATTTAGCTTAAAACGAGTCTGCATAGCATCAGGCTTCACAGCGAGCCCCTTATTATGAATCCAGATGTATTCCACTGATATGTTTTGCTGACCTTATCGATCGTTTCGCGCAGGATCTCGTACTTTAGAAGTAATGATAATTCCTGTATTCTAGGGCTGCCCTGATGCATCTTGTTACCGTTGAACCAGGCAACGTTGACTGACTACTTCGGAATGATCAGGTTTCGTTCTCATTGGATACCCAAAAAGTGACCCGGTGTCTTCCTTTTTGATAGCGAGGAACTCTGCTCCGGGTGAAGTGAATTTGCAAAAAGATACTTGGCTCACTTTTTAAATCAAGACTCACCCATTGAGGACAAATAACTGACAGCCATCCTAGTGTGAGTATCCTCAGTGTGACTTGAAGGCGAGAAGTGCTGTGCACATTGCAACAGTAGTTGTACTGTTGATATCATGGCCGTTCGCAAGGCGGAGGAGCAGATGGGTGGTGTACGAGAGTGACCGTTTTCAAACAGAGTTCTTGAACTTTCGGCATACAATTCACCATCTAATCGGAGCCTAGTTAATATGGACGTCACACATCCGACGCTGTTCGACTCAGTGAAATCAGAACTGGCTGATGTTCCGGGTGACTTGGGCGAAGTAACAGACCCTTGTGTGGTATTCAGTGAACAGCGCCCGTCTGAGGTGCTTTGTTGACTGACGAGGAATGCGGGATCGGGTCCCGGGGAACAGGGATATCTCCGTGTGTTGATTTTGAGCCTCAATAATTCTGAATGCACAAAAGAATAAGAAACATGAGGTCATATTGCGCGCCGCCAGGTATGTGATGTAGCAAGAGAGCGGACCGTCACCTGTCAAGTTGTTGTATCCTGCACACACAGACTACTAGCCATTGTGACACTGATTAGTGTGTCGGATGGTTGGAGAATTAAACTTAAATGAAGCTGGAGATGTTACACTGCAAAATGCCTGTCCGATAGAAGAAAACGGAACACAAGGACGGGGTGGATTTAGCAATTTGCATAGAAACCCATCAAAGGTAGTCCGATCTCCTCTCAAGGTCGGGCGTGAAATCGGCCGTAACATGGATGCGACTTTGAAGAAACGCCCTCCACTTACCAGAACCACTGGGACCATGCTTGTAGGTGAAAAATTCGGTTAAAAACTAAATGGGACCAAGTCCACTTTTCTCAAAAATAGTTCCGAAAGCAACAGTACAACAGAGTTTTAACACACAGCCGTGACACGATTTCAGCCTCAAAAACGAGCACTTCTGGTGCTGGCATGGTCAAAAGTTCGTTCTGGTCACATGTCGGTGAGACTGATCACATGACTGAACCAAGTGGATCGTTTCGATACATTTACAAAGTGCTCCATAGTACACAGACATCAACCCAAAGGCCATGTTACGGCGGCCTGGATTAGCGTTATTTTGTAAAAAGCGATCATCACGAACTTTGAAATTATTTCGGTCACGTGACACATTTATTGTTTCTTCCAGGGGGCGATTCTACGGTACTTCCTGTTTGTTTTATTCGCCAAGCCGAGGTGAACTAATATTTTAACCCCTGGATATGTTGACCTGAAGGCATTGGTGTTTGTCGTTTTTAGTTCCGGATGGATTGTCCAAACTTACTTGAGATTTCCACTTGACTGCTGAGAGATTCTGTTGACCTTAAGGACATATATTTAGAAAAGATTGACGCGTAAAAACTATTTGTCTCAAAGTGTTCATTGTAGGGGGCTAGTTCTGCTTTGACAGCAAAACATGAGAACTGTCAAGAACGCTCCTTTGTTCCGGGTTTTCAAATAAATAGACGTTTCTTATAATGGGAAAGCAATGCACCACTACCTTGTGTCGGTGGCTGATAAATGCAGGCAAACAAACTTTCAGTTCGGTGATTTTGATGAGATTTCGGTCCGCCAGTGGAAAGAAGAAGCAAAGCGAAAATTCATTAGTTTTCTGGCACTCCCAAGGGTACAATTATCCAACAAAGAGCGATAACGCTGGAGAGTTTATGTGTTCTGCTCCCAAACACTAGATGTCTGAACAAAAAAAAAGAAAGAGTCTATTGTACTTGGCCCAATTGTTGTAACCAACAAACAAGTGGGAAATTGAAGGACAAGTCGTTGTTTGCTTACTGGCTGGAAAGAAACCCTGAGTCTGCCGTCCAGTCAACTTTCTTGATGGCTGGTGGAAGGAAGTAAACTAATACTTTCGTTTCGTCAAATTAGCTTGAGACTATCATGAAGGCAAGATTGTTTTGGACAAGATATCGATTGACGTTTCTTCATTCTGTCCCAGAGAGAAACAGACAAGGCAACTAAATATATTAGGAGCACTGGAAAACGTTTCCTCATTGTTGAGAGTCGTCAGCTGTGTGCGCATCGCCACTGTTTATGAGCGATATTCAACCTTCTGGCTAGATGTAAATAATAATAATAATAATCGTTCAGCTGCAAGCTCCTTCCGGTGCCTAGCTGTCATGCCACCCGGAGGAAGCACGAGGGCTGGAATAACACCAGGTCACCCAGGCCTAGACAGGGGAAGTCGAGTGGCAGAGGTCAGGTTCGAACCACGGACCTTCCGATCAGTAAATTCGCGCTCTAACCACTTGGGCCATCTCGCCCCCCCCCCCCTAGCTAGATGTGTGAATATCTCACCGTACAGCTATGAGTGGCTGGCCAGTTGTCAACTTTTGGTCATTTTCTGTCTCTTACGAGTAATGTCATTGTCATCGTTCGACGTGTCGCATGACAAGAATGGATTCTCGGTAAACTGTCTACATTATCAGCACATTCTTTTCTCCTTATACTGATAGCTCCCGTCCTGTTCTGACACAACCAAACTGCTTAATCTGTATCACTTTCGCACTGCAGTTCTTCATTCTGTCTAGGGTTTAGTGACAAGCATATGTGTGCAGATTATACGAAGGATGTTTTAGCCCCGAAAATTGGGCTGGATGCAGTATATTCAGCTACTTGGATTAAGATAAATCCAACTGAGCACAGCAAATAGATTCGTCATACACTTTACTTTCAGAGTAATCCGAACACATATTTTCTATTTTAGTTAAGTGGAGACACTGTTTTTTTTTGCAAATGGACTCTTGTGCCTCTCACAGTTTTGTTTCACCGGTACCATTGTTCGGTTTTCCAACAAACAGTTAGAAAGCACGATTTCGGTTGCGCAATGGGTACTTCCATTAAAGAATGTGTCCAGCACCAGAAGCTGCGTTGATTAAGACATGTGTTGCGTATGCCTAACCATCGTTTGCCGAAGAGAGTGCTGTTTTCTATGCCCGACTCAGAGTGGCGTAAGCAGAGATGGGCAACCCTTGGCTGAGGAGTATGAAGGAGATCACGAAACGCTTGGGTGCTGTCGGTGCTACTCGCCCTGCAGGATGTCGACCGCGTGATCCTCACTGTGCCTGGTTGGAGACACTACAAGATATGGCTGCCAACCGATGTTAGTGGCGTTCTTGTTGTCACTTTCTATCCAGATCACCTGAGTGAATGTCTGGAGGTATAGGCACCTCGGAATGATTGTGGTAGGCTAGCACTAAGTCCTTTCCCCGTCCATCCTTACTCTTTTCTTTACAATAAGGCATTCAAAAAAATCATGGTTCTACGGCAGTGAAGCATCGGTGTTGAACGCTGATGTCATGTTGTCAATGATAATGATGACGCAACAACCAGTTGAACCGAAACTCGTGAAAAACGGTCCGATACTGCGGAAAGTGTATCGATATTGACTTCATCTGAGTAAGTGCATCTAACCTACTTGGGGAAATACACTCCTTTTCAAATTGCACACGGCTGAACTTCATCGTGATCTCTTGTTCGTGATATTTTACCGATACAAAGAACGCCTTGTTTTTCGGTTGAGATATGGCAGTGTATTTCCATGGTGGAGCCAAATTGGTTGATGAGGACTCATCGAAAGCCAACTGCGAGGTTCGAGTGTATGTCATCTTTGTTTCCTTGAATCGAGGTTGCCGTTAACACCGAATTGGTTTGCAAATGAGTGTAATTCGCAAACAGCTTGGTGTCCAGGTTGAACCTAAGTTTGACGGAAACTCGATGAATAAACCTACCTACTGATGATGAGACCTAAGAAAGGCAAAACCGTTCATGGACCTCCGAAGAGTCCTCATCAACCGGGAACGTGTGTGTTTCCTACTCTAACTTAGCGCGTTCACATTGAAGGGGTGCTAAACGAAATTTTTCCTATCGCACTATCTAACTGGATGTTTGTTCAGAGGTCCACCATACTCTCTCCCCCTAAAATAGGAAGGACTTGCCCTCCAAAGAGCTTCCTTCAATTCGGCGTCGCATGTCTTAACATCAAGATGATACGGAAAAACATCGAAGGCTTTGAAATACACACAGCATACTTCCACAGCAGTATTCTGACCAGCATCATGCCAAACACTGGAACCGTACAAACCTCAACAGAGTAGTCGAAATCCCCACTAAGTTTTCTTGGTGACTTCTAGATATTGAATTAATGCGTAGATATAGGCTGAAGTTGAAATTTTGTTAAAGTAGACACGCTTCTCAGACGGAAAATTATCGCGGAACTGGTCGAAGGCCAGGTACTGGTTTTCATTGTTGGGGCCCATCACATAAGCTCCCGAACTTCGGTCAGCCCTACTCTTTACTTTAGTTAATGTTTCTGCATATGTTGAAGGAACCCACCATTTGCAAAATGAGATTCATTCAAGCCTCAAGCAAACACCATCTTGATGTTTAAAGCCATCCAGGAAGGAGAGAAAATCACCAAAAACTTTGCGACCAAGTCCAAAGGAAACGCAAAGAACACTGAAAGCTCTGGTCAGACATGGGGTTTCCTCCTCAAGAATACCTAGGAAAGGCGTGCATCTAGAACAACATCGACAGAGGAGCCTTGCTTTCAGGTGATTTCTGAAGGTCTATGTAGCTTGATATATTACGTAAACGCCATTTGTTCGCCTTCCACCAGCAATGGATGTGGCCCAATGGGATGTAAACAACAACTTTTGGTCACTGGCAGAAGCAATATTTCGCACGGCATGCAGTTGGTTCTACCAATAGCATCCTTTATTAATGTCTAACGATGGTATCGACAGAGGTGTGCCGATCAGTTTTTATTGACCGTATAAATGTGTTTCTGTACACTGTTTGACATTACGACTCCCAAAACGTCGTCTGGACAAAGAGTACGGGTTACTGACAGGCAGTCGAAGGAAATAACCGAGTTTATGTTGTAAGGATTTTACGAAAGTATATACAAAACCAAAGCATACCTGCGAAATAACAGCGCCGATGTGCTAGTTCGTCCAGTTTCAACGCCTGTCTCTTGAGTACAGGTACCAGTCCAGCTGGGAACACGTCTGATAAAAAGAGAACAATGATAAGGATACGGTATACTAGAAAGTGAAATTGCCACAGAATGAGCAAACTTTCAGCACTCCGAAAGCTACGTTTCGGATGTCATTGGTTCTTCACATGGAAACAGTTCAGGAGCATAACAGCCCACGAAATGGACTTTTATGGAACATGTGCATATAATACATAGCAATCGGTTTTTACACATCCTAAATTGGTCTCAAAATACAAAAATGAATCACTGCTTTGGAAAGTTTCTTTTTGATAATTTGATCATTCGCGACAAAAATGTCACCAGGTTTCAAATGATTCCAACAAGCCATTTTAGCCAGGAGATGAAGTGTTTCGTCTGATCGAATTTTCCAGGTCCCCGTGGTCCTGCATGTTTTAAACGCCAATCCAGTTTCGCCAACAATACTCAAGAATAGTGGTAGGTGGATTCAACCGAGGACAGTTGACTTTTCGTCTTTAGGCAAGCCCGATACTGGTGTTTTCAATGGCAACGACGCGTATAGCGGGATCTGCAGAAGCTTTATGGCAAAGGTCGCCCATCTGAAGTTTTAGCTCGAAACGACGATAGAAATAATAACTTGAAAGCTTTGGCCGAACAAAGAAATGTGTGTCGTAACCTGCTACATGTTCTGTGGTCTCCGTATTGTTTAACTCAAAATATCTGATGACCCATCGAGTAAGACATCATGGTTTGATCCCAACAATACAAAAGTAATGCACTGTTAGAGACGGGGGGACGGGAAGGTGAAATACGGAGTCGAGCTGATTTCACCACTTACACGCCTTGTCTATGTTCAACAAAAACAAAAGTCACACTGGCTGACTGCATCAGGTTGCAATGGGACAAGATCTTTGATTTCAAGCGACTAAGAAGCCGGAGAAACGTGCACGCATGTGATATGCGCTCCAAGAGCTCCTCTATGAGAAAATTGATTCTGTTCACTTGAGTCCAGGCCTGACAAAATGCCATTCGGACGGTTCCGTGACAAAGACCAAACGACAATTCATAATGCGCATCCCCTGCTGAGACGTCCCCATGTAATGTGGCATTATTTTTCAGGAGGGTGTAAAAATTTATCACCGGTTTGTTGCCGGCAGAAATTCTGTAGCAGACTCCTCACGAGAACCATTAACTTTCGGAAGGAGGCGAAATTCTATGTGATGTGTTAACAGACATTTATGCAACATACGAAAACTCAATCTTTAGTTCTGACAGGGTTGCAGATAGTTGGCAATTGACAAGTCATTCCGATGGATAGTACTCTCTACGTTGTTGAAAAGAGGGTGCGCTATGGGCCTTCACGCATTTCTTGATGGAAATGCCTTACAAAAATTACAACAGAGCTAACTTCTCGTAAAATATTGTCCTTTGTTCACGAAAAGATATTAGCAACTCTGGCTACGATTTACAGCGGAGAAATGCCATGCATCAGGGAGCGAAAGCCACTAGCAGTTGGTCCAGAAGAATGGTTGTTGAAAACCTGAAGCCAAGCGGGACATACATTGAGTAATTTTTGGAAATTTGCCCAGTTATATCCGGTTTGCATAGCTGTGTGGAACACTGTTACGCGATTAGCCCTAAAACTCGTTAGCTACTGTGTACTTATGAGCCGACACAGATTACGCAGTCCTTTACTAAGTGGAACTACTGGACAGTTTAACAAACCTGTACAAAACACATCCAAGCATGCGAAGCAGGCATGCCAATCCGAAGCACTGAACATCCTCAAACAGAATCTTTGAATCATTTGTACAAGCCTGACGTCAACTCAATTCACTGATAGTTGGTCCGCTCAGAGATATCGATTAAACATGGCGTCAAGGTAAACTGCGTGAAAGACAAATAGGATGGAGTTCTTCGCTTGAAAAAGCTCAGTTCCTTTCAAACCATCAAGCGAACACTTTAGACAGCATATTGCCAAATTGGTGCATGCACTGTTTACAATTTACCTCCGCAATGTGTAACAGCAGACGGAGTTGTATGGGAAAACCTGCACTGATAGCTCGAGCTTCTAAAGAAACTACCTTCAGGTGAATTATGCTTGGTTGTAAAACTGGGTCGTTTGTCGCCTGCACAGTCTCATAAATGCGTCTTACGATGGGTCTTGTTAACCTGGTTTAAAGCGAAAGACTTATAGCCCATAAGAGGCATATGGATGTTACCCAACATGTGCGCAAGTCCACATTATGCCTGATTGATCAGTATTTTGAACCAGCTTGCGGATGGAACAGGGTCATCGCTGAACTATTAGCTCGAGAGCATTTGGACCCATCTGACTGAGCCGTATCAGAAAACTAGACTTGAATTTAACTCCCAGTGTGTGCGTGTTCGTAAGAGAAAAGGAAGAAGTCTGACACCTGTGGAATTCACCTAAACGATATTTCGATTCAGCTGTTGTTTCTGGAAATTCGTATTGGTGGAGAGTACGCCTAATGGATATTGAACAAAAGCAAGAACTGCACAGAGTGATACAGTCTTCATGCATAACAGAATAAAACAAACAAAAGTGCCAATCTTCTACACCATGTGGGTTTCAGTGGTGATGTAGGGATCACAACAGAAGGCTTCGATTTAGTGATGGCCACTGAGTTGATGTCTGAGTCACGACAGGTTTCCAATGGATAGAATTTTGATGGCGGAAAGAAACTGATGGTGAGGGTGAATCTTGGAAAAAATGCTGAGAGTACACACAAGCATGTCAACCTGCTACCCTTCCTAGACCAAAAATGACTTTGGATTGTAACCTTCCAAAAATAACGCCTTGAACCTTGCCTTCGCAGTATATTACTGAGGTTTACTCTAGATCGGTAATTTAATTCCCCTAATTATTGGTCAGTTCCTTTTAAGGCTGTAATTCTCGACTTGTTCATGGTTTCAAAGTAACTGTGGTGCATAATTGGTAGAGAACATCTAAGTACTGTATACCCAATTCCAAAAGCAGACTTCACACTACTTCACTGCTTCTATTCGATATTTCACACAACCCAATAACTCGTGCCTCGTCCTTTTTGTCAGAAGACTTAAAGCGGATGGCGACTGTCACATGAACGGAAGCAGGAAAAAGGCAAGTGTTGCAGCCTATTCGAAAAGTCTGAAGTTTAAAGTGTCTGCAATCCTGAAATTGTCGAAGTGAGTAATGAAGAGCAATGCACCAAATAAATCCAAAAAGGCCTGTGGTCTTTCGTTCACGATTCTCAATACGAAATCAGTAATCAGGAGGAGTAATTTCCAGATGGGAATTCCGCAGGTACGGAAAAATTACCCTACAGCCGGCCAAAAGCAGAGAAACTCCGATTGTGAATTGACATTCCATACTGTCAGCGAAGCCAATCAACGCTGAAAAGCACTGTATAGCTGCTTCATGCTTATTGGGAATCAACAGTGGTGCGCATCCAATGAAATCTAGTCAGAATTCTTGAAACCGCGACCCCTCGGTTAGCTGTTCAAACGGTCAGCCGTTGGTTAGTTGGTTCAACTCTCCTGGAATTTTGTGAGCTGCACAATGTTGATGATTCCAAATGAGGATAAAACAGCTATTCAGCGCTTCCCGGGATTTTCAGCTTCACCCGTAGGATAAAATCTCAATCGAAACTTCCCAAGTCTCACCCACACTACCATCTTCCTTTATTCCGACAAACCCAGCTGAATCCTGTCAAGTATCAAAAGAATATATCTCAGTCTCCTTGAGCGCAATTACCGTGAAAAACTGAACCCCGGAATGCCTGTTAGAAAATTTGCTCTCTTAGATACATACTACTCGTAAGCGTTCCTATGATGTAATCCTTCAATCTCGTATTTTGAGGATTACACAAAATAACTTTATCCTTAGTTTTGTTTGTGGTGGAATTTATAAACTATCAGACTACTCAGCAGGCAGTGTTATATTTGCCTTTCGGCCAAGAATCCGAATTTGCCAAAGTGCCCAAAATGCCTACTGTGGTCTTCCGTTACCAAACTAATTTGCAAGCAATTATATTTTGCCAGCTGAGTACAATTTGGTTTCAAGTAGAACACGAGACAGATGGAAACTCGAGACTTGACGAGTTCCAAAGATGGCAAAGTTCATTGTGAGAAGTAAAAGAGTTTTCAGCAACCATATGAGTAGCGTGCCCCGTCAAGAACATGATTAAATCGTGATCGAAGTTGCATGCGATGGTGACGCTGGTGGCGTTTTCCTTTTCAAACACTCATGAAAACTGACTTTGTGGGAACGCTATGTGTTCCTCGTTAGCTTCAATTATCTGTCAGCTGGCGCAAACAAGTTGAACCTCTAATGAAAACCAAATTGATTTGCAAACGAGTGTACTTCTCGAAAACAGTTTGACGGAAACTCGGGGACTGCGCCTACCTGATGAGCCCCAAGAAGGGCGAAACCGGTCGTGGGCTGTTGAACAGTTTTCAGCAACCTTATGAGTAGTTTCCTTCACGTTTAATATATATTATAAATGATCTGTTTTTCTCTTTACCCCAGTAAGCAGCAAAGCCTATCACACATCTGATCGGTTTATCATTGACTGTTACCACAGAGCGTGATTTCAATCCGGGCAATTATAAGGCAAGCGTTGTTTGCGTTATCACCGTAATCAACAGTGACCAATGGCTCCAGATCGCGTGGCTCTGTTTATTGATAAATATCAGGATGAACTGCGTGTTTCGTAATAAAATCTCAATCCATTTCTGACAGCATTATTTGAACCATATCCAGTGTGTACGAGAGTCGGTGAAACATTCGAACTGTTCACTGACGGATACGGTAGTACAGCTGATTACGCAACGCCGTGCAGCTATGTTCTAACAAACGATTTGATTTATCTCGGGGGATCCCCTCAAAGGAGACATCAGCTCAGCTGAGTTTGCTGATAGTGTTTTCAATCCTTCGATTCTAAACGATGGACTAACCTATTTTGGATCAATAATACCCCGAAAAGATTCGAAGCAAGTGAAGTAGCTAGCTCAACCCACGAAGTGAGGCCAGCTCAGCTACGACTTG